ATGGTTTATATGGAATGAAAAGAAAGAAATCATTTGATAGTTGCTTTGAATCACTATCCTTTTTGGCCCTTTCTTGGGGGTAAAAATATCCCACTTTTTCAAAATTACAGTACGTATCAGAAGATTTTTATGTGCAAGGATCAACTATCTTTTAATTATTGTCCAATCATTATTCATATGAAGACTCTTTCATGATAGTTTTTCTAGAATATGTAGTTTGCCATGTTGTTTCAAAGTAAACTTCATGAAATGCTTTTCTTGTAAGTTGTAATTATGAACTGGAGGATCCAATATATTTTAGTTATGCAATTGTACGAGCAAATGATTTATGAAAGATGCTCTTCTTTTCTGTCTTTTCTGTCGATAATATTTTTCTCAAATACCTTAATGCAGTTCTTTCGGTAAATTGCTTTGTTCCACCCTGGGTATCTTCTTTATGTGGAAGATCAAGGTTTAGTTAAAGTCTGTCTAGTTTCAAGATAGGAGAATGTACTTGATCGATCCCCTTAGTTTGTTGTACATGCCAACGTGCATTTACAAAAGGTTGCAAGAAAGAAAAAACGTAGTTCTCAAAAAGAAGAGATGTGTACAATAATATTGGAATGCATGCTTCATCCATATTCCTCTTGATTCTAGTCCTAATAAAAATTTGTTATAGGAACCTGAGGGAGATGTTTAAGATTGATGCTGCGGATTACATGATGTCCATCTGTGGAAATGATGCTCTTAGAGAACTATCTTCACCTGGGAAGAGTGGTAGTGTCTTCTTTCTGTCCCAAGATGATCGTTTCATGATTAAAACGCTCCGAAAATCTGAAGTTAAGGTGAGTTCATCTCTACTTAGAATGATCTGAACATACAAATTGTGACACACCCCTACGTGCAATGATTATATTTTCATATAAATTGTAGATTGTCCCAAGCAACTTCTCCATAGCACGTAGAGATTTTTTTCTCCTTTTCCAACTCCATTCAGTACTTCATCCTGGTAATCATGCACCAGCTTACTTGCATGAGCATTGATTTTTCATATTTTGAAAAATCCAGTTTCTGCTCAAATGAAGATTTGAATTAACAATTAGATCGCAGAGTTGATTAATTTATTCTCCCCAACTTCAGGGATTATTTCTGGCCTCCATTTGGCGTTGGAACTTTTTTAGTCGAAGTTGATATTTTTCTTTTTGCTGCTTGTGCTTTGATTCGTTGTGTTGAGCATGGTAGTAAAAGACTCCTATGGAGCCCATATATTTCACAGTTTTTGGAACGGGGTTTGTCACAGGTATATACAAAACTCATGCTTGTTGTATGGTTTCGATAACTTTAATAATTGTCCATGGATGAAAAATATCCTACCAACCATGGGATTTTAGAGGTGGGTTCTTATTTTAAAAAGTAGTTCTTGAGAGATGAGCAGTAGCAAGAAGAGTGATAGTACTTTCTAATTTTAACTTCAATGTGGTTTATCATTAGTTAATCTTAATTACTACTTCTGATTAATATCTACAGTGATCATAATTGTTTCATGATCTGGTATTTAAATACGATATTTTTCTTCTTCATGGGAAGAGCCAATCGGCCCAATCCTTCAACCACCCAGTGTCCCCACTTGAGTCACAAGCCTGTGTTACCAAGCTCAGGATGTCATATTATTATAACACTGACCAATGTTCTGCTGTAGGTTCTTCTGAGGATGCTTCCAGATTATCATCATCATGTGAGGTCGTATGAGAATACACTTATAACCAAATTTTTTGGTCTTCATAGAATCAAACCGTCAAGCGGTCAAAAGGTATTAAACACCAAAACTTGGAGTTTTTGTCTAAGCCTGTGACCTTCATCGTTCTTCCACATATGATGCATTCTATATGTCCACTGGCTGTAGAATACTGTTAATACTGGTATATCATGTGTGATTTCTGACCTTACAGTGACTGCATTATTCTTCAAACTATTTGTAATTTAAGTCGTTCAATAATAAGAACTTCAAAGTACTAATGTTCATCACCTAACGTTTGATTTTTGTGCAGTTTCGCTTTGTAGTAATGGGAAATATGTTCTGCACAGAGTTAAGAATTCATCGAAGATTTGATCTGAAGGGTTCATCCCTTGGGCGTTCAGCAGACAAGGTTGAAATAGATGAGAACACTATACTCAAGGATTTAGATTTGAACTACACCTTTTATTTGGAACCTACTTGGCGTGTGGCTTTATTAAAGTAAGTCGTACTTTCTCTATTTCATGTAAGGCTATCCCCCTCTATCCTCATTAAGTAAACATAGTAGACCAAATATTAGTGTCATAGAATTGATTTGTCTAGTAAGCATGTTATACGGCTGACATAGAGCAGTACTTTGATTGAATCAACTCTTGCCACTAAACAACTATGCTGAACAAGCATTTCTTAGCATGGAAAGCATATATATATATCTTATTCTTACATCACATGTTCTTTTCTATACAGGCAGATCGAGATTGACAGTAAGTTTCTAGAAGTGCAGAATATCATGGACTATAGCCTTTTGTTGGGTGTGCATTATCGTGCCCCACAGCACCTGCAATCCCACATATCCTACAATAGAAGCATGAGGGCTGATGGATTGGGAATTCTTGCAGAGGATGGTGAGTATCATATGGGGAGATCCTTACCTTTTGGTAGTTTCAGTTGTCGTCTATAACCTTATCAGGCTTCAGATTTTAAAAAAGAATATAATTCACACAATAGGCTAAATAGCTCATATGGTAAAAAAATTAATGTGTTGGAGAGATCACGAACCGAAGCTCCCTAATTTAAAGTGCTGCTAGCTGTTGATTTTTTTTTCTTTTTTTTTAATATCCGTGTGTCTGGGTCAATTTGCGCACACATCGACTAATCACAGGTCCTGACCCTACTACATTTGGTTGACAAGGTAACTTATAGGATATTAAATCCTAGGTAGGTGACCACTATGGTTTAAACTCAATTCCCTCTAAGCCCTTTGCTACTTATAATGGTCTTTATTGACCTCTAGGCCATCCCATGATGGTTGTTAGCTGTTGATATTCTGTGATTCAAAATCAGGTATTTATTGGTTATAGAACGAAGATCTACATTTTATAATTTGATTGTTCTGTTTGCCAGTATAATATAGGTAAGCAAGGTTGGACTGGGGTAATGTCCAAAGTTCGGCAGCGAAATACTTCTCGTTTTTATATGAGTATCGAAGAAATTCTGATTTTATAGTTCTTACGGAGCAAATGAAAAATTATCTCCATTATTTTAGAGTTGGCTATTGATATGCTATGCCTCGAACTTGAACTTGAGTTTGATATTGTCTGGGATTGGTCTGTCAATTATAGTAACTTGCTAATTAACCAGCCTAAGTTCCTATTATGTTATCTATAGGCATGCTTAGGATTGGAGAATCTATCCACCTCGATACATGTAGTCATGCATTATGTGCAGTGTCATACTTCAACTATATGAACTTATTATTAGATTCGAGTATAACTTTGTGTACATCCAGTTGATTTTTTTATTGCAGTACTTGACACAACTAGTTGCTAATGTTAAATGGCAGATCCTTTCGAGGAGGACATATCAAACTACCCTCAAGGCCTTGTTTTAGTACCTCGCATAGACGATAATAGTGTTGTTGTTGGCCCCCACATCAGAGGCAGCCGTTTGCGAGCATCATCTGCTGCTGGCGGTGAGGAAGTGGATCTTCTGTTGCCTGGTACTGCAAGGTATTACTACTTTTCATTCCCCGAAGATTCTCATTCTTGTAACTACACGTGTCATTAAATTATGGATACATCATAAGATCTAGACAGTTGACTGATTCTCGATCTGTCCGATCATTATTATTACTTGAAGACCTCTGTTCAAGCACGTTTTTGTGTTGGGCTCCTGAAAAAATCCTTTAACACTCACTTTATGCAGACTCCAAATCCAACTTGGAGTGAACATGCCGGCAAGAGCAGAGCAAATTCCAGGAAAAGAAGAAAAGCAGATGTTTCATGAGGCCTACGATGTTGTTCTGTATCTGGGCATCATCGACATTCTGCAAGAGTACAACATGAGTAAGAAGATCGAACATGCATACAAATCGATTCAATTCGATTCGTTGTCCATCTCTGCTGTGGATCCTACATTCTATTCCCATCGTTTTCTTGAGTTCATTCAGAAAGTGTTCCCTCAAAATGCTCTCGCAAGCTGAGAAATGTGGCTTCATATGCATATCATTTCAATTCAATTCCTCTCATGGAAACTCTCCTGCTGCAAGAGATGGCATCATATCATACAGAAATTGGAGATCGGAGAGTGGTGGGGGTGAAAAATGGCAATGGCAATGGCAATGGCAATGACAATGACGACCCAGGTTGTGAAAGTGCTTTACAATTCTCAGGCCTTCGCTTGTAGATTATTTTAGTACTCTGTTCCACGTCCTAACATCAACTTTTGCAGTCTCTCTCCTTCAGAGTTTTAATTTATACTTCCATTCATATTGAGCTTGCGACCTTCTCTCTCCTCTAATCTAACTGAAAAGGAAATAAGGGAAATTGCCCTTCAATAATCCACAAAAATGAATTTACTTTTTTTACATGTTTTATTTTGGATCTCTTCATTTCTCGTCAAAACTCCATCTTCCATTTGCTTTGAGGCCGCTTCAATTTTACTCATTCCTAAAATATCTGCTTACGGTTATTTCTGTGTCAATTCTCTTTGATTCAATGCTTGGTTGCAAAACAAGTTCATTATAGTTTTAAATATTTCAAATTGTTTCACACGTTCTTGTTGAATATAATATTTGTTCAGCTAGAGTCTGCAATCTTCATTGTTGATGAGAATCATTAAAAATTAAAGCATTGATTTGAGGAAGTTCCTAGAAACACTCAATAACTTTAGTTTTCCTATTTCTGAAATAGACACATTTTATATAAATAATTTTTTTATTAAAAAAAAAGAGAGAGAATTTGAACCGCAAACGCAAAGGACGCATAACATTTTTCACCATGAAAAATTGAAAATAATGGCACAAGTAACAAAATTCTCTCATTTTGCCTGAAAAGATACAATAATCAAGGTATGTTAAGATTCTACATGCCAAAATATGATCATATGACGAAACAGTGCTTTAAACTTCACTAATGAGACCAACAATTAAAGTCCCCAGAACGTTCATTACCAAATTGTATTTCTCAAACCTTACTCTAATGAATTGATTCTGTGGCCTATCCCATATTGGGTGGCGGCGGTGGTGGCTGACGAACACCCTGACCTTGGAAGCCCTGTGGAGGAGGTGGCATGGGAGGTCTATTCATCTGAGTGAAATTTTCCATTGTGTTATTGCCAACTGGAGGCGGTGGAGGGATCGACGGAGTCCCACCGGGAGGAGGCATTGGTCTGGGAGGACCATTAGACATTACAGAAGGGGGAGGCGGCAAGGAGCCCGGCATTGGAGGAGGAGGAACTCTCGGTGGCGCTCCTTGCTGTGGTGGAGGTGGTGGTGGTGGAGCTTGAGGTGGCGGGGGAAGTGGCCTCGGTGGTGCACCAGATGGCACCGTTCCATTGGCTGCAGGCACAGTCTGTGGCTTGTTTGCCTCTTGTGGCTTGGATTTGAAATACAACTGCAACTGCAAATTTTCATGTTCACTATTGCCAGGTTAGGGGTCGGACACCAAAGACTAAATACTACAGCAGTAGCAGTACCATTAATAACAATAACCAATAACCAGCTAGAAAGTTAGAAGCCATTTAGATTCTTGGTTGCAAGGTTAAACGTGCTAGGTCGGTTAGGGCGCCAAAACTTGTTAAATATGAAAAAGACACAAGACCAACCATATAAAGAGTTGGCCACTCAATAGAACAGTCAAAGCATCTGCATACACAGTAACAAATACCTGCGGGCCCAAAAGCCAAAATAATTCAAAGCAGCAAGAATTGAGAGACAATCTATTCAATCAATATTTTCTGGCCCGACGCTCACAAATATAAAAAAAAATGGCCCTACAACCCATACTAACAGGTATGACAAGCTACGATGGAGTGGTACAATAACTAATTAGATTCAAGAAGAAAAAGTCTTCATTCACTGAAAAGTTAAAGATGATAAGCAGTAAATCCTAAGATACAGCTGAACTGTTGGTAGTAGGCAAAGGGTGTCAAATGAATTAAAAAAAAAGTATTCTTTATTTTTTTTTTTTCAAGTATTCTAACTAATTGTAAGAAGGAAAAGAAAAGAGTCAAACCGTGAACATTTTTGAGTCAGGATCCCAGTGTGAGAAGAATTTTGGTGTAGATTTGTCAATCTCTGTGCTTGGAACCTAAAATGCATACAAGTAAAGATCTTCAGAAACTATAAGCTGAACTATGGATCATCACGTTTTACGAATCACATGACAAATATACCTTGAACGCAATTATCTCATATGGTTCAGCTGCAAACAGAAGATATTGGTATCTTTTATCAAAGGGTTGCACCCGCTGGTCATAATAACAAGAAAGACAGTAAAATTAGCTCATAAACGAAGACGTCAATAACAATAGAAGTGATAAAATCCGACGTCATGTTTTCAGAAGCACGTGAATGATGAAACTTAGGTACAATCCAAAAATGTAGAAAACCTGCTCATAAGAGGACATAAACCGATGCCTTGGCTTTGCTAGGTCTTCAATTTCTGGATATTCAATCTGCATGATGTTACAATATAGAAGTAAAAGAAGGGTGTAGGACAAGTCAGGCACGATACAATTGAGTAGTAACCCAATAAATATCTTCAACAGATACTACAGAAGTCTGTCATACGAACTATGAACTATGAAACCATACCTGGAAAAGCAGAGATCTCTGCTTTGTCTCAGAATCAAATTGCTTTGTGACTCTATAACCAGGCCTTCCAATTTTAACTGAGAGCATGCCAGAAAAGCAGCTAATTAACACAAACTTCATTTTTAAGTTGAAACAAAAAAAGAAAAAAAAGACACATCCAACTAAGATTATAACCAAAACCTAAAATTTGAAAACTACTCTAGAACACCAGCCATTTCCGACTACAAACTCTTATTTGACATTAAACCATTTTTATACATGATTCAGTAACTTGACTGAAAAGCAGGAATCTCAAACTCCGTCTCCCTAGTGTCCTAGCAAGCTATCACGCTTAAGTTATAGATTAGCACGATCATCATGCCATAATGCTTCTAAGTTGAAATAAATGGCCAAATGGAGAGTATTATCAATTCAATTGTAAGGGATGAAAAATACAAAAGTCATTCAGTTCATATCAATCCTCACTACTCACAGCAAATTAAAATCATCTTGGTAATGACCCTTCAGAAAGATTACAAAGAAGCAACTATCAAAGCATCGTTCGCCCTCATTTAAACAATCAATGTGCCAAGAAAAAGGGGACATAAAGCTTGCCTGTTTTACGAACAGAGACCTTCCGCTTGTGGGGCTGAGGTTGAGCAGGAGCTTCCTTGGCTTCGCGGGCTGCTCTCTTGGCCAAATTAGTCTGATGCCGCTTCCCCTGCGTGTGCGCCAAGTAATTTCCCTCATTGTTGTGCAGAGTCAAGCAAAGCTTACACTCATAACTACAAAGAAAAGAAATCCCAAAAACAAAACAATTCAATTTCAAATCTTCCGACGAGCAGATGGAATTAGAATGAGCGATATAGAGAGAGGAAGGACCTTCCAAGATGATTGCGCATAAAGTAGGGATCCTTGGCGAGATCGATGGTCTCGAGAGCAAGCCGCCGAAGACGCTCTCTCCGATCAATAGCTTCATTCTGTGCAGAGGCCGCACCTCCACTTCCCGGCTTCGAGCCCCACTCTCTGTCCATTTCTCCTCGCCGTCGAACTTCGGATTCCGATTTCCGATTGACAGCTTCTTCGTACCTCCGGCGACCTAAGAATCCCTTCTGTTTATCCGAGCGAGTCGGCGAAAGGAAGTTTCTCTGCCGTCTGAAATCTGAATGACCACCAATGGGCTAAGGCCCATGGTCACTTGCAATCACCGGCCCAATACTAGACGGCCCAGCTCGCAAACGCTCGGTGAAACTATAAATTTTATTTAAATATTTATAACAAAAGTAATCTCGATAAAAAACAATATTTTTAAAAAACATTTTGAATTTTGAGGTGCATCCAGGATTCTAGGCCACGTGGCTATAATTTCTCAAACAGAGAATCCCAGAAATTTGTCCCTGTCGAACTTGAGTAATAATTCTCATGTGGACTTGTCTTCTTGTTCACGTTTTAAGATTTGAACACACGTAATCATTTATTTTAATTTAATTAGTGTTTCCTTTAATTTATGCAGAATTTCAAGTTTACTCAAATATGGATATGATATTATTTATTTTRGATATAATTTTACCTAAAATCTCTCATGGTTGTTCTATACTCATATACTCATGATCTTTTCTTTATTTAATCAATGTGATGCTTTGGTTGCATTCCTAATGATACCATTCTTTTATAGAATATAGATATAAACACCAACATAATTTAAATCATCTACATTATTGTTTAGGTTGATAGGGGATTTTGAATTAGGTGCACGTCAATTAAGCTAATGGACCAAACGAGTTGGAGATTTGGAAATAAAACCTTGTATCGGTGTGACACTCGGTCACGTATACTCCAAAACTTAAGTTAGTACTTCGAACCAAACTTAATAAGGTTGCTTATAAAGAAGCTTTGGGAAATGCAGCCTTGCCACTCTAACCCCATATATGGTGTCAACAAATTTTCCATCGGCACCATATTCTCCTTTTATTCCCAAGTTGGAGTAAGTAGATTTCCCACTAAGGTATCCCCTATTACCAGGTTAGGTTCAAAGTGGATTGTTCTTCGAGTCGGCATAACATGTAATTATGCCAGTTCCACTTCAACCCTCACGCGACTAAGCTAAGATCCAGACACGTGTTCCCAAGTGATTGATCCATGTAGCAAGTCATCAATCTACTTATAGCAATTTACGTGCCTATTTATAATATAAATACATAATAATAATTAAATACTATTCACGTTATTTGTTCATAGCATACATACATCAAAGAATAACTAATACAATATGTTCAATCTCATTTTTCTGAGAAAAAAGTTCCACAGAATTTTCTTTGACCTTTGAGAAAATATAAGTAATATCTTAATGTGAGCCTAGGCAAGCGCCTAATTTTGTACGTGGGTGAATGTTATATCAAAATACAAAAGCTTAAGACCATCCATCATTATCTTCCTTAATGATGATTGATTCCCACTAGACCTAAATTAATTAATAGATGAGAGTTGGCTTGCTTTGCTTTTGGGTGTCCAAAATGGTCCACTCTCACCCATAAAACTGTAATTTTTTTTTCTTTTTCTTTTTTGTTAAACATGCAACACAATATTGTCTCCATTATTATGGTCTTTGTTTATCAGCTGTTTGTTTTGGGACATTGACAACACATTCATGATGTTATTCACTTTTCTAAGGGTTGTTTGTTGCTATTACATAGCATCTATTTCATTCATTTTGGACTAATAAATTGCCTTCGATTCTCAGCTTTCAAAAAGTTTCACATCTTCGATATCTTTTAAGTTTATGATATAGAAGGAGATATATAAATATAAATATATGAACTTTGACAATTATGTCTATTCAAACTTAAACTAGAATCATTAACTAAATGACTACACGATATGTTTTTTCGACGAATTTTAATTCATTTGGCAAGATCGAATTAACAAATGAACGAAAGAAGTAGACAACTCACAAAATAAAGTGACACATGCCATATAAGATTCTTTTTATGAAGAACTATATTAAATCTCTTTCGTGGATTGTGCCACTTTTTTTCTTTATTGAAAATTTTTAAAGTTAGTAGATAAATTGATAGATGTCGTAACTATAATTAAATAAAAAAAAAAGAAAAACCCAGTTTTTGAAAAGTAGTTACCTCAACTTTTATTTTGAAAAACAAGTTTAAATAAAAAAGAAATGTCAACAATTATTGCACATGAACAGTTCTCCAAAAACAGAAAAATGTTGGCTTTATTTCAAAATTTGAAAACTTTTTGCAAGGAATATCTTATCAAGAATAAATAAATAAAAACACCCCATTTTTGTTTTACAAAAACAGAAGGTAGATTTCAAGCTTTATTCCAACAAAAATCTTGGATTACAAGAAACCACTTTGCTCGCACAGCAAAATCCCACCAGTTGGGAGAAGAGAAATTGGGACAAAAACATAAAATTCCACAAAAAAGGGTATATCAGAGCATACCATAACATCCAAGGAAAGAAAAGAAAAAGAGAAGAAAGGGCAAAGAACAAATACGTTGTTGTCTCAGTTGGTGCAGCTCTCACTTAGCCGTTTTCTTGGAAGTTATTCTTCTCTTTTCTTGCCAACGATTAAAATGGGTGTATAGATTGTTGTCCATTACTTTCTTCCTGTTGTCCCATTTCTCCAGTTTTTTCTCGAGAAGATCATCAGAATGGGATCTTCTTCTGGCCAGAGTGGCAGCAGCTACGATCTGTCGTTTAAGGTTTTGCTGATCGGCGATTCTGGTGTCGGCAAAAGTAGTCTTCTCCTCAGCTTCATCTCTACTTCTGCTGAAAATCTTGCCCCCACGATTGGTACGTTTTGTTTTCCCTCACCAAACCAAAACCCCACTTTTTCTTTATCATAAAGGAAGTTCTTTTTCTGCTCATAGTCTGTTTGTTTGTCCAGAACACAAGTGCCCATCTTCTTCCTTTTTTGTGGAAGTTTTAATTTCTGTATTTTGATCTGTTTTCTTTCTTATTAGGGGTGGATTTTAAGATCAAGCTGCTCAAGGTGGGTGGGAAGAGATTGAAGCTAACAATCTGGGACACTGGTAATGAAATAGCTGAAAAGGGGTTCTTTAATCTGTCATTTTTAGTTCAAATTCGGGAGATTCACTTCATTTTCTTACCATACTTCCAAGTTCCAACTTTTTCTGTTTTGTTCCCCTGTATAGAAGTTGTGGGAAGAAGAGAGTTTGCACAAATCCATTAAAATCTCAACCTTTTTCACTGTTTCTATTGTTTATTGAGCTTGTTTTGCTTCTCACTACATATGGATTGTAATTGAACTTCTAAAGATATGATTTCTTGCAGCTGGACAGGAGAGGTTCAGAACATTAACAAGCTCCTACTATAGAGGTGCCCAAGGGATTGTTCTTGGTATGGTTTTCAAACTATAAGCTCATATTTTAAAACCCGATCCTGAAGGGTGCTTTTCTGGCATTTTGCTGTCTTCTGAGCTAAGATTTGTCTGGGTACCGTGGTGTTCATTTATCCCGAAATGCTTTTAACTCGAGCCGAAATGGGGGACTATCAATGGGGGGGAAAATGAGTTTAATTTGAGAAATAGTTGTTCTAGAACAGTATTTACAATTGGTATTTGTTCCATTTGTCAATCAATGTAGTTAACTGAGTTATCTTAACTGTCTTGTTGTAGTCTATGATGTCACACGGAGAGAAACGTTCACGAACTTATCCGACATATGGGCTAAAGAAGTCGAACTCTACTTGACAAATAAGGAATGTGTCAAGATGCTTATTGGTAATAAGGTTGACAGAGTAAGTGTCTTTCTCTTTTCGAAGTTTTGTCGACAAACTATATATCGATTCTTTTCGAGCATCATACTCCATTTCAATGATGATCATTCATGGAAAGTTCCTAAGATCTATCTATCATATATATAGCTCGAAGTTATGTTCTACCATTTACGAGGGGTGCTTGGAATTTCAATATTTTTTTACTGAGAATGATAGAATTTGATGTGTGTTGAACATAGGATTCTGAAAGGGCTGTGAGCAGAGAGGAGGGGATTTCTCTAGCAAAAGAGCTTGGATCCTATTTTCTTGAATGCAGTGCTAAAACCAGAGAAAATGTGGAGAAATGCTTTGAAGAGTTGGCATTGAAGGTAGATTTTTGTCCAATCAGTCTCAAAGTAGTTAGCCTCGAGATACCCATCACCTCGTCGTTCTATAAACCTTTTCTTTTGTGCTACAGATTATGGAGGCTCCTAGTCTGATTGAAGAGGGTTCTAATGTAATTGTAAAAAGGAACATTCTGAAACAGCAGGAATTCCAGCCTGCATCAACTGAAAGTTGTTGCCTCTGATAAAACTCCGGTACGAAACATCGTTACGAAAGCACGACTCTCCTTATCGACAGTTCCTGTACATGTCTCCTCCTACTGCTCCTCCATCGTCATTAAGTTGTTGTTTGCTTAATTGACTGTAATTGGGAGTTGAAAAAAAATCAAATACATCCATCCATCAACTTGTGTAACTTTTTCCTTCCAGTTTTTTCTTCCATCTTTTGGATTGTTTGGCCTTGTATTGTACCTATCTATACTAACAAAATTCCGCGTGTATCATATGATCAAACATGTCCCTCTTTCAGTATCTAGTGATCTCACTTCACTACTCTTCAAGCATTTATAATAGATTTGCATTGAATCCGAACAAGGAAATTGCAATGAAAAGCATAATTGTGGCTATCAATACTAACCAGAGAACATAAGACGTGAAGATCTAATACCATGTTAAATCACCATTAAATCTAAAAGTTTAAGTTGACGGGTATMTGAAGAAAATGAAATGCAGGAGATGAAAGAAGATAAAAAGCAATTTGTGTAGCTTTGGTTTTGAACCCACTTAGAACCAGGCTTTGTTTTTTGTCTTTCACAATAAAAGAAAAGGAAAGTGAAAAAGGAAAAAAAGAAAGCTTCATTCACTCTCAATGATTTTCTGTCCTTTTGTATTGTGTTCAATGGATTCCCAGCATAAACAGTGCCAGTGAAAGTGACTGTAAGGCTGAAGGTTATAAGGATAAAAGGACCAAATGGGGGTGAAAATTACCAAAATGCACAAGCAACCAAATCTACCGAGTGCTTGGCCCCTTGATGTTGGAAGGGCAATGACAGGAAATTTCTACCCCCCCAACCAAACTTTTGCTTCACAGAGAAGTGAATGGTTAGCCATCCTTTTGCTCTCTTGGCTTCACTACCAACCAGCAATTATCTGTTTTTTGATATTATGAAAATGAGATGAATGCTGTTGAATTGATGTTTGCTGATCCAGTTTCTTACAGAAATTATTACAGGACATGACCTTAATAATATTCACCATCATGCTTGCTAGTTTAACCACCTTTTTTTTCTTTCTTTTTACCAATTTTTCTAATAACTTAGAAAGATGTGGACCAAGACCAACTAAAACACCATCTTAAAAAGAAAGAACATGTACAACAAATGTAGAGATCTGGGATTGAATCTCCGATTTTTAGAGAAGGAAAAAGATACTTTAACTGTTAATATGCTCATGTTGGGAGATTCAAGCTAGCTAAAATGAAGAGCATCTTTGGCTCTAGGAGATAAATAAGATAAAATCGTATATGTATCTTTTTCAATTAAATAGGGGTGCGAAATTCAGTCCGACTTTTAAGAAGATAAATAATGTATTGACTAATTGAGCTATCATCTTAATTTTTTAATTTGTCATACAAACTCTTATTCAAGAGGGATATGACCTCGAGTGGGTCGGGTTGCACGATTAGAGGTATGTCTTGGCCTAATTGAGAATGTTCCATCTTTGCGACAAGTAGCCTGTCTCCTTTCCACGGCTTTAATAATTCACCTTGGAGTTTCTTAAAGTTTAAAAGATCAAGAATTGATAATTTGCTATGTTTAATTATGGAATGACATTATATTTTAAGGAAACTGTCATTTCATATTTTTGCTATAACAAATAATTTTAGGGTTAACCAACCAAAACCATAAACCAACCAACATTAGGTATTCTAATAGATGTATGTTATTAAGAATAGATGTTTAACTTGAAGTCAATTAAAGACATCATTTTAATCCTCTAGATACACCGATGAATAACGAAATCAACAATTTAGCGATATTTGATCTTTTAAATTATATCAATTCATTTACCATGGAGGCTTAATTTACAATTTTAGTTATGAATTTACTAAATTTCACTTAACTAATTAATGTACCTATCTCCAACAAAAAGATCATGAGTTGAAATCTCACTCAGAAACATTTATGAGTAAGTAACAACCTAAATGGGAATGAGAAGACCCCCACTTTTTACAGAAACATTTATGAGTAAGTAACAACCTAAATGGGAATGAGAAGACCCCCACTTTTTACAGAATTAATGAAGGACTGCCTTCCAATCACAAATAAACATTATAAAAGAAAACCTTGTGGTYTAAGCGCCAAGACGAAGYGGTAATTTGTACGCAATTACAAAAAGAATCAAAAGGAGTCGTTAAAAAACCAGCATACTGTTGTATTCCACCAAAAAAAAAAAAAATCCTCTAATTTTTTCCTAATATCATAATTGTTCTAATTATCATGTTACTAAAGAAATTCTAAAATAACAAAGTCTATCTCCCCAATACTAATAATCATTAAAATTAACATTAAAGGTTCTTTTTATAAAACTAACCAATCCTATTTTTCAGTTTTCATAATTTATAGCAATTCTGTGCAGAATAAACAAGAATGCCTCTGGGAAAGATGGAAACTGCAACGCTATGAACAAAGTTTACAGACTAAAACCAAAACTATCAAAGCCCAAAGAAATCCTGAAGCCATTTTAAGCACCTATCAGATGAGGCCTTACTGACACCCCATCGCGAATTGGGCCGAGGCAGCCTCCAAAATCGTCCTGGCCTCCGTCCCAGGATCGGCAAGTTCAGTCGGGGCCTGAAAACAGAAGCAATACTTAGAAAATGGGTGCTGCCATATAAAGGGAGATGGAAGTTTCAATATCCACTCGAATACAAACCTTCCCGTATGTATTTTCCTTGGTGGGAGATGCCCCTGAAGCTAGCAGTAACCTTACAACTGCAGCATGCTCGCCTCTTGCGGCATGATGAAGAGGCTGTACAGATAATGTTAGAGGAATGAGCTTATTGAAACTGATTGCTATTCGTGACCGTAAAACAAACGGTGACAAGTGGGGCAATCACATTTTATTTGTACAGTTTCTCCCAGGTAGTGTGGCATTAAAGATCCATTGCTAAAAAAATATTGGTACTAAGTGATTTTTTAGGAGTGATGAAAAGTTTGTATAAAAAGGTAATTTTCTATTTCGCAAGAAGCCAATAGATTTCATACCCTACCATGCATGATGTGTAAAGAGATTGTGTACACTTTAAAAAGCCTATTGTTCCTATTATTGAAGAAGCCAATGCAACTGCACCATGAAAATTTTTTCTAGAATAATGATGCTCCGGAGTACTTTTCTTTTACCATATAGCCAAAGAAAATAGAAGTCTTTTCTATATTTTATAGCATCAAGAAGAAGGAACAACATTGTTCGGTTGTTGTAAGTATTTGGCTGAAGATTTTGATACAAATTAAGTAGTGATACTGATTATAACCAGATACTTACAGTGTCACCTTCTGCATCGACTGATTCTAGCATCCTCTTCAGGCAGTCTGTGTTGTTAGCACTGTTAATTAGGAGTTGAACAATCTCTAAAAAACCTGCACAAATCATGGGAGGAGAAGAAAAGAAAATGAAAATAACATTTGGAAGAGAATAATATGTTACAATGGGGTGCTGAAAAAGGGCAAATTATTCATAAATCATAATAGCCAACCCACCCCCTGCACAAGCATCATGCAAAGGAATGGCACCATCCTCATCTTCAACCTCCAAGTTTGCCCCTCTTTCCAGCAGTAACTAATATTAAGATTAATTTATTTTAAAAGAAGTCATAATAAATCATAAAATATTCAAAAATAAAATATACAAAGTATGCATAGAATAGGTCGCCAACCTGGACACATGGCAGATGGCCGTAGAGACAAGTAAGGTGGAGAGCTGTATCCCCATCTTCCACAGCATCATCTATACTTCCCATTGTCAAGTTATCTGAATTGAAGGAAATCCGAAAACATTTGAATAAAACATTAACAATTAACTCAAAACAAGAAAAATGCTTCAACAAAGTTGAAACCAGAGGCCTGATTCACATATCTTACACTCAAATCAGTCCAATGAATGGATGTAAATGACATTAATGTTATATGCAAACCACTCAATGAAAAATATTACAAGTTTCCTTTTCATGCAACTGATTCTGCATCAAATAAACACAGAGCTAAAAACATAAACTTAGATTTAAATTATCATACACCAAAAGAGCAGTTCCCATTTAGACAACCCTCGCTCATCAAGAAAACTAACCACCATTCCTTTAGACTACCATATCTTTCCAATGAGGATGGTGGACTCAGTAGACAACGATAAACACCATCTTCGCAGTTTGCAGACCATAGTAATTGAACTATGACAACATGTATAAGCACATTACAAATTGAAATTTCAAAAAGTGAGGAAAAGGTCAATCGGAACTGTGTTCACATCAAATTTTCTGAAAAGGACCTTTTCGACCAAATCAGGATAGTGAAGACCCTACAGTACGATTGACAGAAAATTTCGCAGTGCGAGAGCGAATGCAATAAGCTGTACCTAGAGCGGAGCGCAGGCCATTAACGTCGCCGAGCTGGGCGGCGGTAGCTAGGGGGCGGAGGTGTGGTGGCGTATCAGAATCGAATTCCATGACACCATCCTCTTCAAAGAGGGCATTATCTTCCTCGTAATCGTCTTCGTCTACCATGCCGTTGCGCCTGCCGGGAACCGCCATAATCGTCTTCTCCGGTGCTCTAGGTTATTCAGAAGGACAGAGGAAGGCCGCAGAGATTCCCAAAACAAAACAATTGCCGCTGTAAAAGGCGGCCGGTCCAGCTCTGGGCTTTGACTTAAAATTTGGAGATGGTTGGGCCCTGCCGTATTGGGCCTAAGCTAACTGGACCACGCTTTGCAATCTTATTGGGCCATCTATGTGTTCGTGGGCCTCGTGGGAGAAAAGTGTAATTTTAGTTTTCTTTTGGGATCGTAGTGTTGTGAATTAAACAATTTGCGTTGAAAATCAGTATGGAGCCACAATAATTAAAGGATTATGATAATAATTTATGGAATTAAATTTTTTATATTAAAAAAAACAAATAACTATAATAAATGTAAATGCAATAAATAAGGGTAAAATTGAAATAAAAATAAAATTATACCTACAAAAATCTAAAATTAGAAAAATTTAGACATTTGTGTAAACAAGTTTCTAAAACAGTCATCCGAAGACATTATCTCTTTCTTTTTCTTTTTTACTTACGTACCCTTAGTTCAAACTAATATTTCAAAATTGTCCCACGGTTATGATACTTGTGACTTTTATCCGTATTCTAATACATATTAGCCAAAAGGCTAAAAATGTAATGGCCATTTAAAACAAAACTGCCATCAAAGGCTAAAATAGTTACGAAGATGTGATTTTTGTTTTCATGATGACTTTCAAGAGTACTATGAAAAAGTGAAACAACAACAACCAAAGAAAATTGTAATCAAATAAACTAATTGTTTTCTTTTAAAAGTTGTTTCTTTTTTAAATTAGTATGTTGTCATAAATGACCAATTTTAAAAATGACAAGATCCATTTCATTAGTTTTTGTAGATGTTTGGTTCATGAACTAAATTTGTGTAATTTGAGTTAAGAGGTGAGTCTATGTTTAGTATGTGAGTTTGCTTATCTTATATTATATAAACCAAAATTATTTAAGTTCGAAATTCATATCATATACTTGAAGCTCTCGTTTGATAACATTATTATTTCTTATTTCTAATTTATTCTCTTTTAATAAATAATAACGTAAGTGTGTGTTTGGTAAATGTTTCTTATTTTTGTCATTTCTTCTTTTATTAAAAAAACAAAAACATATTCGGTAGCTATATCTTTCTTGTTCTTTAAAATTTTAAATTAAGAAAAATAAAATTTTTATATGAAAATTATTTTTTACTAAATATGTTTTTATGCATTATAAGCTAATTCTTACTCAACCTAGACGAATAATGATCTCAAAATGTAAATTTATATTACAATATTAATAAAAATAAAGAATAAAGGATCCCGAGAAGGATTTCCAAATAAAACGTTGAAGGTAACAAAAATTCTCGTGCATATAAGTTCACCCGACGGTGAAGTTTGTGCAGAAACAGACAAGTCGCTTTCCAACACATGCAACCACNCTTTCATATTTTGCAACTTTTGTTCTAATCGTGGACCTATTTTGATCGATGTACTTTAAAAGTAGTGATTTATTTGGTCCATACATTTTATTTTTTATCTCTTATTTTTATTATTATAATTTTCAACACAATATTATACTTTTTTAAAATGTAATCATAATTTTATATTAAAGAGTTTTTATTATGTTTAAAATTTGTATTAAAATTTTGAAATTGTCATTTATTAAAGGTATAGATATCAAATCGAAGGTTCAAAATACTAAAATGGACCTAATATGATAGTTTAGAAGTAAAAAGACTCAAATAAGTCAAAAGTAAATGTAGAGATGGAAAGAAAGAGTATTTTAACTTATAAAAAATTGGCATGAGGTTTTAGTGATGTATAGAATGTCGAGGTTTCAATTTCATAGAAATATCAATAAAATATCGACGTAAATGGATATTTCTGTAAAAGTTAAAGAAATTAAAAAATCATAAAAATAAATAAATATTTTCTAAATAAATTTAAAATATTAATATTATGTATATATTAGTGACGTTATGATAATATTTTTCATATTTTGTTGTATATGATTGTAGAAGTGTCAATTTTTCCTACTTGTCGATGTCGAATAGTAGATAGATGAAACTGTTAATATGTCGACCGATATTTAATACCACGATCGTAACAGATGGTTCAAGTTTGGAGGTGGAGAGTTGATGAAAACCCTCTTGAAATTCATGGGGTGTGTGTTACGTACATAAAAAGTTAGATCCATAAAAGAAGGGACGTTAGTCTTCCAGTGCCCCCGTTTTCCCCATTGCCAGCCGTTTTCCTTCTTCCATTTTTAATAATAATCTGCTCTCTCTCTCTTCTGTTATTAATGAACTGTAGAGAGAGAAACGTGAGAGAGAGAAATAGAGGGAGGTTTTAGGGTTAAGCTAAAAGAAACAACAGAACCTAATCCACTACTTTCGGTTCAAGTTTTGGTACCCAACTCATCCATCACTCATTCATGCATATAATACTTCCCTTCTCCGTTAATTCTACTGTCTATCACTAAATTTTTCATTTTAAAAAGTAAATACCCATCTCTCGAACGTATCGAAAACTTAGCGGTGGATTGCAAGAGACTCCCTGTCATTTGCCTTATTTCTCACACACATGCTTTTAGATAAACAAGAAAAACTGTCATTGAATGGATCCCATAGCCAAACCAACATACTAACCAAAAGAAACCAACACAACCCACCTTTTCTAACCAAAAGAAAAAAAGGTTTAATTTTTTTTTTTTGCCCTCCAATGGGTATTTACAATAATGAATGCAATTAAAACTCTAGCACAAAGTTGGAAGGTTTCAAATCCTGATCGTATTCTAAAAGAAACGCAATTAAGAATTACAAAGATCAGTAAAGAATTTTTGGTAACTTGGGATCAGTTTGATCGAATTGATGAACTGCACTAAAGTTAGCCAAATGAATTGAGACATTAAATTGAACCGTTTGCTTGCAGGAGGTGGGTGTTGTGAATGTTAATAGATTCATGATAATTATGAATCCAAATCGAAACCCCCACAAAAGAATTAAATTAATTTTAACTTTGATCATCAGTAGTGGCAATCCACCAACGGGGAAGCGGCGGAGAAGACGGTGACCGCCGGCCGGTGCCGGTCGTCCTCTGGCGCCGGCAGGTTAAGATCCAACTCCAACACCGCCCTTTCTTTCTTGATCATGAATTCCCGCAACGCCGGAGTAGTAGTTGACCGGTTGGCCGCCGTGGTTAGCGGTCTATGGCGTCTCATATGGCCGCCGAGGGCCTGGCCGGACGAGAACTCGGCCCCGCAAATGGAGCACTCGTGAACCTTAATGGGTTTGTCGGTGGCGGAGGACAATTCCAAGGAGAGACGAATTGCGGCGGCGGCATCGTGGTGTTGTTGTTGGGCGGAATTAACGTTGTTTTTGGGCTTCTTGTGGCTGGCTCTGTGTCCGCCCAAGGCTTGGAATGATGGGAAGCAACGCTCACAAGTCTTGCACTGATAAAGATACAGCGATGATGATGATGATAATTTTTCTCTCCCCTGAGCCAACAGAATCAAGCAATTGGCCATGTCCTGATCCTCCTCTGCTTCTACACAGACAGAGGAGGAAGAGCAATAATATTGATCTCCAGTGCTGGAGGAGTGGCTGGGGGAGGAGGGTCTCTGGCGTTTGCTGCGTTTCCCCTTGATCGTCATGAATTGGGCCTCAATTTCATCACCTGGGGAGGCTGGCGTTTCGGCCATGGAGAAATTAAAGTGAGTGGGGTTAATATAGTGAATAATGGTGTGGGGTTTGAAGTACAGTAACCGCAAATTTGCGTTTGCCAGTTTTGAAAAAGGCCCAAGTTTGGAAGTTATATATAGGGATTGATTAGAGAAGGGAAAAGAAAAGAAGATGCATTGTAAGTAAGAGGAGGCTAGGAAACGAGTGAGATTCGGTTGGCTTTGAAGCAAACCCCCACCCCACAACCATTTATTACTTTCTCCCCACGATTCCTTTCTCTATAGGATTACTTTGCAAGCCTGGATCGAACAAGAACGAGCAATTAATTGAACTCACAATTTTGGGGTTTTTTTTTGGCTATTGAAAGGGTTGACCCGAAGGAAAAGAAAAGGACCCCACACACATCAATCCCGCCGGCTGCTACTAAAACAAAAATGTAATTCCAAACCCAATTATTAACTCAGCATTATATCAATTATCAATTATCAATTAGCATCGCATCTTTTCATGGTCCACCCAATCATTGGCCCATACTACACAAGAACTACAACTACAACGTGGGTTCGGTGATTTTTTCCACTTTTTTTGTCAACCCCAATGAAAAAAACATGGAATTTACCTAATTTCCCCTAATTTAGTTAATGGGTTGTGGTTAGTTTGTGTAGAAGTTGCCAAAGTTTCAATCTTTTTTTAGAATTAAGAGGAGAGGATAGGAGGAGGAGTGTAGAGAGAGAGGGATTATTCTTGGCGTGAGGGCCTCGCGGGGGAGGCGGTGGCCTGGTGGCAATGGCACGTAAGGGTGTGGCGCGCCAGCATCACTAAGTAAAGCATATAAATTCTTCTATTATTTAATTTTTTTATTTGTTTCCATTATTTTTTTATATTAAGTTTTGTAATTAATTTATGTTACTTGTATAAGTTGTTTGTTTTATTGACTTTGCTGGCTACTACTACTTCTCCACCACCTCTCTTCACATAATACTTCCAACAAGAAATTTGTTGCTGAAGAAATTATATAATATGGGTTTTGATGTGTGAATTTGGATGACATATCGTATTATTAAAATTTGGAGTATCGAGAATATAATTGATAATGATTTGGGCTGTTCATCATGTTAGTCGTGATTAGCTCTTCTTTTTCTTCTTCCTTATCATTTTTGGTCAAAACGTTTGAATCAAATGTTTGGCTCACATCATTTTAATAACCTTCACTTCATTTGAAAATCCAAACTTGTATAACTTATATTAAAATCTAAATGTGATGAAAAAATTTTCTCACTTCAACCGCAACAGAAAATAATTGAGAAATTAAAAAAAAAAAATACACAACAAGTGAAAAAACTCTGGGAGAAAAAACCATGGCCCACAAGGAAAAATTACACTATTACAATCACACATATTTCTCTCTTCATTCTTTCAAAATAAATACCGAACTGGAGTTGATATACCAGACTTAAATATTTCAATTGAGATGATTAAAACTCAGGTTCATGAGCTCCGTTTCCAGTAGTTGGAACACACATCCTTTTTTACCCCAATGTGGGATAACTTCTAGCACTTGGAGACCATCATTATACTCTTTCAATGTGGGACAACCACCATTCTAATATTTTGCCAAAGCCCAACAAAATGTACGTATATAGATATAACACGGTTTTATGCTATACAATAGCTAACTTAAGCTTATGTAGAATATACAAACTCACCTACTATATATAGACTCGACTTCTTAACCTTTTAAGTTATTAAAGCTTAGCCAAAGATGAAAAAAACAACAATCGTCCCAAGTAATTTTAGAGAGATTACAAAGTTTCTATCGGTGACAATATTGTAACGGTAGTCCAAAATAATTTCGTGGAGTTATTTAATGAATGCTTTGAGAGTTTCATTGAGTAATTTAATTTAATAACTTTTAGGTAATTGATTTCCATAATTTTCTTTTTATATTTCTATTAATCTTGGACTTTTTGTTATATGTAAAACGTTGAACGCAATCTTGCTGTAAGAGGGTCAAAATTTCCAGTTGTTCTTCCCCTCTTCCAAGGGATACTTTATTAGACTATGAAAAAAACCCTCCTTCAAAGAGTCAAATTGGGAATATATTTTATATATAACAAAAATAAACTCACCGACATTTAATGTTAGGGTATAACAATTACAATATCACAGTAAATTAACTAAAATATATTATATTATATGCACTAAATTAATTTTTATTAATCTTCATAAGATATAAAGCAAAGTCTACCACTAAATCTTCACTAACTGAAGTAGGTGTGGGTAGGGCGGCATTAATTAAATTATGTAAATGTTATATTATTGTTGGTTTGATTGGTCTAATTAATAATAATCCAACCTGGCTAAACTCTAATACACTCTTAATTAATTAATTAAAATTGTTCACACACCCTCTTCGAAATCTGCCAAAACGACAAAGTTTCATAATGCAACACCTTCACACTCTCTTGTCTTGAAATGTAGTTTAAGTCTAAGATCATTATCATGTGTATGGATGCTGCTCGTGATTTATAAAAAAAAATGGTTAAACGACAGCGTTTGAGAAATAGATCCCAGGTTGAAGAATAAGCGAGTTATTTATTTATATTTTATTTCTAATTTTATTTATATTGGTGATACGGCAATTAGAGTAGAGGGCGCCCGTCAGGCCGTCATACCTCTGGGCCCAGATGGACCAGAATTCAAATTGGGCTACCTCCGGCCCATCATAATTCAATATTCAAATTGGGCTTTTCTTTTATGTATCTCTTCTTTTTGCACTTTTCTAATTTACAACATGAAGGGGTGGGGGTTCAAACTCATGACCTTTTGGTCATAATAGGTACCTTAACCATTCGGGTGGGGATTCGAACGGAGTATTTCTTATCTCTACATTTATATATTATCTATTTCATATCCGAATCTTCATTTTTGGATTGAGTGATATAGAGCTCGCTAAGAAAAGTTGTATGGGCCAACTGAAATATAGTATAGATAGTCAGACATCAATATTAATATCTTTACTTTATATATTGTAGGTAAAAATTATTCCTCAACTGCAATATTGTCAACAAAAATAATAATTTTTATGGGTAAAAAAGTGCAAGCAACTTTCGACTTTGGTCCCATGTGAAGGGAAGGTGGATCTGAAGTTAATATTATTCAAACCATTTGTCTGAAATTAATGCACCTGATCATAAATTATAATTTATTTTGTTTTTAAGGACTCAAACTTGGTAGCAGAGAAATGGTTGAAATGGACTTGAAAAATGTGGCAAAAAATGTTATAATAAGATGATGTATGAAAGAGAAATTTAAAAAAAAATATTTTAATCGTACATCTATCAGTTATGAGAGTAGAATGGAAGACACATTTTAGTTTTAGATAGTATGATGAATAGAATTTGAAACAAAAATATGTTTGTCAATATCRACTCTTCGTTTTTTTTTTTTTTGTCTTTTGATTCATTTCACACRTGAGAGAGAGAGAGGAACATCTTTTTTAACTTTTGGGAGGTAGATGCCAACAATGTACATTTGGATTTCAAGTAATTTTCTAATGAAAGAAGACATGTGTGGTTCAAAGATGGAGAAATTATTTTGCATATACTTTGGTTTCTCTTTCTCCTCAAGAATCCACACATCCCTTATCAATATACAACAAATTTTTAAGCACAAGTTGTTGATTTAAAATGCCTGAAGTTGTAGTTTTGTTTACTACGACTAAAATAATTCACTTTTTATGATAAAATAATGGCAAAACCTTTTAACTTTAGCTTGAAAGGGGAAAAAAGCCAAACAATATCTTGAAATAATTAACTTCAATAACGGTGACAAAAAGAAAAACTTTTAATATGACCATTCAAGTGTAGTGTTGAGATTGAACTTACGACATTTAAGAGAAATTATAAATATCTTGACGAGTACTACAACTATTTTCTTCACACACAATTAATAAATATAGTCTCTTTATAATTCTCTCGTTAATTCTCCATTAGATTTCGTAACTTGAATTTTGAGTACATATTTGAAATATGAAAGGGTTATTTAAAAGTAGTTTGTAATTTAAAATTTGTCCAAATTTTTTTTTATGGTTTTATTTTAAGATTATCTTCTTTTCTCTAACAATTTCATGTTTCCATAATTTTCGTCCCTACACGTTGGGATTCTACCTAAAATGCATCTTATTAATTAAAACATTCTACTTGTAAACTTACACACTGCTCAAAGTTTCATGATCCCAATGGAGATAGAGCTCAAATAGTCAAATATTAGTATTTCTTTTTATGAATTGCAASTTTGAATTCTCCCTCGTTGATAATGTATGGCCTATTTGATAATATTTYTATTTTTTGTTCCCATTTCTCATTTTTAGTAAAGAAAAATAGAATGCATGGCCAACATCATGGATTCAACAATGATAAAACAATACTTTTATTTATGTTTTGAAAAAAATTGGAAATTGAAAACGAAAACAATAGAAAYGAAAACGTTACCAAACGAGTCGATATTATCCTCAATCATATTTYTAGGACCTAATACAAATAATTATGTAGATATTAAAAAAAAATCTAAATATAATTAGTGTTGATGTTTTATTTTGCTTGTGTATGTAAAATGAAAATGAAAAACAACTTTAGTTTTTGCCTGATGAAAAATTCACACTGTCCCTTATCCCTTATAAGTAGATAGTCAACTATCTCTCGAGCTCAGGATGGTCGATTTGAAAGACTTGATGTTGTAGTTTGTTTATTACGACAAGGAGTGAGATTAATGCATTTTGATAATCGATGATAGTGAAAATTTTAACTTCTTCGAGGGGAAAAACAAAATTCTTGAAATTAACTTCAATGGTGACAAATAAAAAAAAGAAGTATTAGAATTTAAATATAGGGTCAAAATTGTGACCTTTTAGATGCATAGTCTGTTACTAACGTCTCACTTATTAATTCTCGATTGTGTTTTGGTAGTTAGGTTCTCAATTTGGAACTTTTTATGAAAGGATAATCTGAAAAAATATATTTGGACAGCTATATTCTTTTTTCCGAAAAAAATTTCAGAAAACAACATTAATTTTTATAAATAAATCAATTTAACAAAAAATAAAAAAGAAAACCAAAAACTATTTTAAAAATAAATTTGGGAATTTTCAAACAGGGGTTGTTTTCACTTTAATGGCCATTATTTCGCAGAGAAAGTTACAAAAATGCTACACGCGTAGGGCCCATGTAGACGTAAAGAACCCAAAATAACTCATAATACAAAATTGGCCCCGAGGGATCTCTAATATTTGAAAATGACCCCTAGCCCCGCACCAAGAATGCGGACGAAAAAACAGCTCAAATTCAACTAAATAATAATT